ATACTATAAATTATTGTTATAATTACATATAAAATGTCAACGAACAGCAGGCATTGGTCTACCGCATATATAGTTATGTAGTGGAATTGACATAAATCCAGCAAAATTGATTCCCATTGAATCTCCGACAGTGGCTACGGATAGTGAGTACTCTCGTACATCGGGTGAAACCTAAACAAAAAGATTGCTATTATTGATGAACATGCCGGCCTATGTGCTCACCATTTTATGGATTTTATCGAAAGTGTTCACGTAAGCTGCACCTCCTAGCAAACCCTCAAACACAATGAGACCAAAGATTATGCCTATACTAGGCACAAACCAATAGATCGCTTCGAAAAAGAAGAAAAAGAAGTTGGTTGCCTGGAAGAGGTATAGATTCACAATGCTGTTTCTACAAGACTATAAAAGGTCGAGAACCTGAAGCACTGGCAACAAATAGAGCGACCACGTTGGCAAAGCGAAAACTTTCACTGATGATCGTGAAATAAAGACTCCAAGTTGGTAAAGCACCTAAATATTGGAATTAGTCAAGATACTCTCCTTTTTTTGTTTTGAACTTTGTTTAGAAGGCCAGAAAATGTGAATTTCATGATAGACGATGGAAAGACATTCGAAAAGCTTTAACTTTTGTTAAAATTTATAGTCATTCTGAGGCTGAGGATCTGGGCTCAAGAATAACAAGAGAAGAACGCTCAAATGTTTCGAATATTTGTCTTACATCAATAAAGCAGCAACTGCGCATTTAAACCCAATTCAACATTTGTGGCGCTATCGTATGTTGAGCCTTACCTGATACCATCGGTATTGAGCACTTAACGTAAGATTGAATCCTTCGTGACAGTTGAAAATAACTAATTGCGTCTGAAATATGCATATTCAAGCATTTACATCAAATTATATACTAGGCTGAAAAATTACGAGAAAATCTCACCACTCCTTGATTTATAAGATATTCTCCGATGTAGACGAATGATAGTGGAATCATGAGATGCAGTAAGGGCTAGAACAACGAAAAATCTCTTGGAGCAGATATAGCCATTATAAAGTAATCAAACTAACCACTATATACTTCAATCTTTCGACAAATGTGAGTTTTCTTTGCGGGACTTTCAACTGAGATGTCTTTTTCGTAGAATCGTCCTCTCCATTCTCATCACTGATACTCCCTTCATGCTTCTACAAGAAAATGGTTGAAGCTGAAGAGAACTAGGAAAAAAATTCAAATAGTAAACTCACAATAACTTCTTCTGGTACTATCCATGTACTAGGATTCCATCCTGGCTGGTGAACATCCTTAGGTACAACCAAAACAAAGAAATATCTAAAATGAATTGTTGTCCTCAAAATAAAACTGTATATTGTTGGACAAACCTAAAATTAAGTGTAAGGTTTCTGAATTGTTACATGAGTGGATCTTAGCAAAAACTTGGTCACCTTATGTAGCTAGCAATATCACTTTTCAGGTATTTGCAAATTAAGTCTGGTAGATGAATGTGTTACTTTTCGAAAATTATGGAACTTCACAAACAAAATCATAACTTTTTGCCTTTGACCCTGTT